GCCCCAGCCTCCAGCAACACCTATACACTTTGTCATTTTAAGTAACTCAGGAGACTCCTCTCTGGAATCTGAAGTCAGGTACACAGGACCCCTGGCGCGTGCCAGCAGAGCCCCAGGCAGTCTGGCGGTGCTATTGCCTCCTCTGGGCGCAGCCCTGAGAACGAGGGTTGCTACTCTCCCTTCACGTTTACAGAGCAAGCTCAGGGGCTGTGGCCTGAGTACCTACTCTTAAAGTCCTGCTCCTTTCTGTGCCTGTTAGTTCATGGGCTGAACCTGCTCTGGGAAAGCTCAGCATTTGTATTAGATCAGATAGTTTTATTATCTTTATAAACCTTTCCGTTTCTATTCTTTTTATAACCTCTGACCATGTGCTTTCGCTCCTTGGTTGAAGACCATAGAGCAAGGGTGAGTTTGACATTTTCTTTGGAAGTTTAGGGAGAGACATTGTTCTGGGTCTAAATCAGCCATTAATACTGAGTAATTGGAATCTGATAAATATTCCATCCTAATAGAGAAAATTTTTTTTTCTCCAAGAATCCATAGAGAAGTAGAAAATAAAATCCCAGAGTTAGAATTATGGACATTAACATCAATAAACATTGATTTAATGGATACCTACTAGGTACAGGGCGTTGTGTCAGATATGCCACAGAGACAAAGCAAAGCCAGAACCGTCCTGCTGGCTTTCAGATTTTACAGATGACTGCAATACACAACAGGGGAAGATTTAAGTCCTGTCCTGGCCAGAAAAAGGTAGAAAGACCTTGGGAAGAGGTCAGTTAAGGTAATCGTCGTGAAGAAAATGGTGCTTAAGGCGAACTGTTTAGGATGAGCAAGTTTTCAATGAGCAAGCATTCAGCAAACGACTGAGCCATATGTGCCCGATGCCAGTCACTGGGAATGAAAGGTGGGGATCAGACTTGTCCAGATGAACACCAAATAGTCATATTTGGTTGGAACTTGGGGACTGCTTGGGAATAAAATGGAATATAAGGCTTAGAAGAGCCTTGACTGCCAGGGTGAAATGCTCTACAAAAAAAGGAGGGAGGGAAGCGGAGTTTAGAAACGTTGATGTGTTGGAATATGTACGGAAGATCAAGAAACAACTATGATTACTGGAGGCAGTGATGATTGAAAGGAGGGAAGTGGATACGAGAAAGATTACAGAGGCTAAATCTTTTGTGATTTAATCACAAAATTTATGTGAGAGGACTGAGACGCCCACGGTTTCATGTCTAGGTGACAAGAAAATATATAAGGGTTGAAACTCGGGGAGACAATATTTTAGCTTTCAACCTAATAGGTCCATAATATGATCTGAGCCCAGGTGAGAACTAGATGTGCAGTAATTGTTTCTTAATTATTCGCTGACATCTCTGATGGCCTGAACACTGTTTCGGGTGATGGCGATGCAGTAGTGAACAAGGTAGAGCAGGTAGCCAATAAGTGCGTGTGAATGAATTTGTAGAAAATAATTGTTCTCCACGGAGAACAGGCTGTAGGAGAGCAGTAAGAGAAACGCAGACAGATGAGGACACTGCAGGCCTTGGTAGGGGGGCGAGGGTGGACAGTGTCGGTGCCTGTGGAGATGGAAAGATGTGAGTAGGGAGGGGCAGTAGGGCTTTGAGGTCGGGTTGGGTAGGAGATGTGAGAGGGTGTGGTCAAAGTGCGGCTTGGGTGGTACATGCGGGTGCCCCTTACTCGTGAGGAAGTCTGAGGGAGGAAGATGCAAAAAATGGAGTTCAGGAGAAAAATCAGGTTCGAGACACGTAGTTGGGAGTCCTTTTTATCAAGCAGGTGAGAGGATGCAATACACTTGTGGGGAACCTCGTCTATGGGGAGCAACAGGGAGGAAGCTGACTGAGGGGAATCATCTGAAAAAAGGTGCCTGAGAATAAGAATCTTCTAAGAATCAGGAGCTTGGATCAGGGCTACTCAAGTTCTCAGATATGAAGAGGAGAATGAGGCGTGGCCATGGGTGATTCCTTCGGTCGCAAATAGAAGGAGCCAAGGCTGTGGAAGGCTTTGAAATTTTATCAGGAGAGCTGAAAACAAAGGCAACCCTGAAAGTCAGGGAGGCTGAGGCTCTCAAGCTACCACAGGGGTGGACCAGGAGGAACTGAGATACATTGCCTGGCATTCATACTGAGCTATTGATGGGGAATGGGAATGCGTGGAATTTCTCATCCAGGGCTCGCTGCCCTGCCCCACAGTCTCATCTCCATAGTCCTCCTGACTGAGGATATTTTCCTAGATACTTTTTTGTTTCTGTAACTGGAAGGCTTCTCCCAGTCTCTACTATTAACCTGTCAGTTCCGCTCCTGCCTCGAGAACTTATTTCCCTTCCCTCTTTGTGCTGCCACTAACATTTGAGCAGTAACTTCATTATTTTAGAAGAAACTGGTGCTGGGTTTCATTTTGCTTTCATCATTTCCTGTTTCTTCTGCTGTCCCAATTTTATTAGAGGCCTCTTCTGCTAAGAAAAGATGTTAGTGGACTTCTGTAGCTAACAGAACTATCCCTCCAGCCCTGGCTGGTGTGATTCAGTGGGTTCAGTGCAGCCCTGTGAACCAAAGCATCACCAGTTCGATTCCCTGTCAGGGCACACGACTGGGTTGCGGGCCAGGTCCCCAGTTGGGGGTGTGTGAGGCAACTGATTGATGTAGCTCTTGCATATCAATGTTTCTCTCCCTCTCTTCCCCCTTCCATTCCCCTCTCTCTAAAAGAAGTAAATGAGTAAAATCTTAAAAAAAGAAAAAACTATCTCTCTAGTATACCCTTCCTGCTATATTCAAAGCCAGTTGCCTGGAAAATGTGCTGATGTAAGAAACAAGTTAGCGTCCTTTTCTGTCTCAGATGGGCTCCTACATTTTGTTGTTAAAGGACCTAGAGAATCCCTGCCCAAAAGTTGTGCCCTCCAGAAGACTGCTCTGTGTCTCCTCCATCCCCATCATTCAACCTTAATTATCTGCTGCTTCTCTGGAGAAAAGCCAGCTGCAGCCTTACTGGAAGGGGGACGGCTATGCAGTCTTGCTGGAAGGGACAGACACTAAGTGTAGTTAGTCCTCAGTGTCTGTGGGAGGGGCTGCCTGAGATCCGGGAGGGTGCCCGGGAGGAGGAAACAGCCCGGCCTTGGTATATCCCAGCCCCCACGTCCTGGGAGAACCCCAGCCAGTAAATCGCTCTGGGAGATTCCCTTTGGGCTAAAACTCTCCTTCAGTCTTTCTGTCCTGACCCAGAAACTGCTGCGAAGCCGTAGTGAGACAGCTCAAGGGAAAAATAATGGTGTTGATACCAGTGCGTGCTGTCCCCGGACACACCCTCCTTCCCATCTCTGACCACACACACAAACACCTGTATCGCTGTTCAGTTAAGATTTCAGATGCTGTGTACTTGGCTAAGGTCCTAATGGGATTCTCTTCCTTCTGAGGAAGGTCCCATCCCTGGTCTACCAATCCAAGACTTTTCTTCCTGAAACAGCATCCACAGATGGGTCTCTAGAGTACTTCATGCGTTGCTTCTGTTTTAAATGATTCTCAGTTCTGGGCAGTTTAAGAGAAGACCAAAGTATGGGGCTGAGGTGGGGGTGAGTAGTGCTGGTTTATTCATCCTCTCACAAAACAGCTCTGGCCTGAGGCCAGATGGTGGCAGGAAGGTGAGCAAGTTTATAAGCAGGAACTTAATGAGGTGGGTAGCAGGTAGCAGCCTAGAATCCAGTGGCCCGTGTGCCAGGAAATTAGAAAGACTCCACCTGTGTGAGCCCCCTGCTCCCGGCCCTAACGCCGTCACAGGGTAGAATATAGGAGCTGGACGGACCTTAGGGCTCCTACAGGCCACCTTCAGCTTGAGGGGGTCCCTGCTGCAGCCTGCCTGATGCTTCTTGGGACCTTTGCCTCAAATCAAAGAACAGGTAGTTGAACCTGTGAGAGGGGAGCTTCATGGGATTGGGGGTCTAACACAACTGAGTTCAACCCCTGCAACTTCGTGTCTCCCGCTAAGCTGATTACCCTCCAAAGCCTCCGTTGCCCTGTGTAAAATTATCTCCTGCCTCGCAGGGTTGATGAGAGGTTACATGAAGAAATGCACATGAAGAGTAAATGCTTAGTGATGGTGGCAGTACAGTTGGCTCCCAGTGTCCCCACTGGCCACTGCAGGGGCAGCGCAGCCCCATGAACAAGGCGGAAGTGAAGGCCGGGATGTGAGGCTGCACATCCTTAGCCCTCAGAGGGACAGGGCAGGGCGCAGGAGAGCCTGCTGACCTTTCTTCCGTTAGTGTCCAGCTCTGCAGAGCGTTGCAGAATTAAGCCCCACAGAAGGTGAAAGAATGGGACCACGGCCTGGACACTGCTCAAAGGCAAGAGCTGGCCCTTCCTGGTAGGTTTCCCTCCCAAACCTCACTCTCGCCCTGACTGGTGTGGATCAGTGGGTTGGGCGCCGTTCTGCAAAGCAAAAGGCTGCCAGTTCGATGCCTGGTCAGGGCACAAGCCTGGGTTGTAGGTTTGGTCCCCATTTGGGGCGCTGTGAGAGGCAGCCGGTAAATGTTTCTCTCTCACATCAATGTTTCTCTCCCTCTCTTTCTCTCTCCCTTCCCCTCTCTCTAAAAATATATAAAATCTTTAAAAAAAAAAACAACCTTCACTTTACCTCACCTTCCCTCTCTGCCCCATGTGCACAGACCTCTACCCTTAACCTTCCAGGACTCATATTTTATGTTTTTAAACTTTTTTCTTTATTTAGACAGAAAAGACGAACTCTTTAAAAGTAAAATGCAATAAATAAATAAGTTAAGCATAGAGAAGTGTCTGAAACTGACTCCCGTCCCCCCGTACCACCCCCACCCCCACCCCACCTCTTCCCTGAAACCTCTTCCTAAAGAAAATGATCAGGTAATAAACCCCTTTATCCCTCCCCACCTTCCCCCCTCCCAAGTACCCAATTTCCCACCCCCCGACCAAAGCAAAGGGAGAAATCAAGAGAGAAAAAAATCCAAGGGAAACATTGTCTAAACTCCCAGAAAGAGAGATGGCAGCGTCCGGGCGGGCCGGGCTGGGTAACGCACGGCTGGTGGTGGCATTTACACGGAGGGGACCAGCAGAGACTGTAAACATTTTTAGGGGTTCAGGGAGGTCTTTTCCTCGTGAAAGGAGGAGGGTCTCTGTGGCTGTCTGGCAGAGAGGCAGCCCTCAGGGCTCCCCCACACCCTCCTTAGAGGGGGCCCTTGGGGGAGGCAGTGAGTTTTAGGGCTGGGAGCCCAGGGTTCAGGGGTATCCTACCTCTAGCTGAGGGTGGCAGGGAGTGTGAGGACCAGCTTCTGAGAAACCCCGAATGTGAGGAAGAGGCTGGGATGAGGGTGGGGTGAGGAGCGTGTGGGAGGCCTCCGCTGCCCTCCGGGGTTGCACAGGTAGGACAGGCCCCCAGGTTGGGGAGGCAGGCAGAGCTGGGCACAGAAGGCCCATCATAGGAGCCCCAGCGGAAGGCAGATACCCTGGAGCCTTTGAGCCTGTTCCTTGCTCCCTCACAAAGGCCAAAAGGGCACCTGGAGGAAACAGGCCTTGAGGAGAGGCAGGGCAGAGGGAGTGGGCCGGTGTCCTGTGCCCCCAGAGCCGTGAAGCAGCTTTTGCCCAAGAGCCCAATCGAGGCCCAGGGCAGATGTGCAGAAAGGGCTGGGCCAGGCGTGGGGAGAAGGGGTGAGGAGCCCCTTCCCATGGTGTCTCCAGACCTGCGAAGGAAGGAAACACGGGTGAAGCCACGGGGAAAACAGCAGCCGGCGCAGGTCACAGGCTCAGGGGGAAGAAGTGGCTGGAGTGGCTCAAGAAGGCAGGTCATCAGAAAGGCCTCAGTCCAAATGGAACAATCTGGCCCCTCGGCCACTGGACAAAGGGCAGGGATGGAGGAGATGGGAGTGAGGGCAGGTGATAAGAGAAACCAAAGATATTACAAAGGAAATATTCAAACAGCCCAGGAGGAAAAGGAAGACCAGAAGGTAGAGACTAGAGGGGGCGGGGGCAAAGAATGAGACAACAAACAGGCAGGCAGAGAGAACTCAGAGAAAGGAGGAGTGGGGAGCCGTGCCTGGACAGACGCCTGAGGAGAGAGCGGGGGCATCCGCCAAGGGAGGGCAGAGCAGGCCAGGGGCAGCCCGGGCTGGGCCGGGGCTGGAGCCTCATGGGTGAGACCCCTGGGCCCTAGGGTGCGCTCTCATTCCTCGTGGGAAAGGAATGAAGAAAGCCAGAGAGAAATGCACAGAACACGGACCACAGTCACCAACCACTACTAACCAAGCACGTCCCGCGAGCTGCCCCCGGCCCTGACCCTGGGCTGAGGGGCGCTTCCCTCCACAGCCCCCTCCCCAAATAACAAACAATTGGCTCCAAAGACAACACGCTCGTTCCATGCAACTTACAGGGGCCCGGAGCAGGGGTCCAGGGATGGGGGCTTCGGCCGACAATGGACACGGGCCCTGGGCTGGGGGCCCCCGGGGTGGGGGGAGTTAAGCAGCCAGGATTGGGGGGAAAGGGGGAGAAACAGAAAATGTGGGTATTGTTCTTGGGTTGTATTTTTTCAAGGGTGTGGTCCAAAGGAGATTACACAACATAAAGGTAACCAAAGCTCACAGCTCTAGGCCATGAGGTCGGGGTGGTGGCGGGCAGTGGGGTGGAGGGGACCCGTTCAGGGCAATTCACAGGCAGTCCAGCATTTCAGCCTCCTCCACCTGAACCAAAGCTGCTCCCGAGGGGCCTGAGGGTGGGACTGCCCCCAGTCTGTTCTGTGCACTCTCCACTGTCCCATGGGTCCACTGCCGCATAAGAAAATCACCTGGAGTCCGGGCACCAAGGACCTGATGTCCCTACTTCTCAGAACAGATATTCCAGGAGCCAGGGATATAACGACCTGCAGTACTTGAAACCAGCCCACTTCAGCCTCAAACCCGCCCACTCCAATAACCCCGCCCCCAAAGAAAAGCCCAGAGACACACAGACATGGACACTGACCAGACAAACGAGACCAGATATTGGGAAAGATCTGGGGAGTGGGCACAGATACGCGAAGAGGTGGTTCTCTCTGTGGTCACTGTGTGTGGGCGGTGGGGGCGGGGGGGGGCGCTGGGACTTGGATGATGGACAAACAACCGAGCTTTGGCGCCCTGAGGCTGGTGGAAGAGAGGGCGGGGGCAGTCCGAGTGAGGCCCTGGCTGCAGTGTGTGGGGGCTGGGCACCACAGGGCAGGAGCAGGACCCACCTGGGGCCTCAGTAGGGCCGGTTGGCATCCTTAGGCCGCTTTAGCTGGACTTTGAGGCGCTTCATGCCAATCTGGAAACCGTTCATGGCCTGAATGGCAGCCTGGGCGCTGGCTGGATTGTCGAAACTCACAAAGCCTAAAGTGAAAGGGGCCGGCCCAGCCTGACCTCACTCTCCTGGCACTTTGGTTCCCCAGCACCACCCTAGTGCCTCTGGGTCCCCAAAGGCCTAGAAAACTGCCCGGCACACAGCACGCCTTCAGCAGTAGCTGCTGATTGACGGGTCAAGTGAGTGAATGCAGCCCGGCTGCTCTCCCACACTGGCTGGGACATTTTTCTCCGCATTCTTCAAGGGGCAGCCCCTCCCTCTGCCTGAATGGTTCTGAACCTGCCCGTTGAAAACACCACTTCCAGACCGTAAGTGACTTCTGAAGCAGGAGGACAAGAACATGCACTTCCTTCCCTGATGCAGCCTTGCAGACACAGACCTGAAAGCAACTGAACCCCACTCCTAAGTCTTCCTTTTGGAAACCAAACATCCCATTCTGGAGCCTCTTCCAGACCTCATGGTGCATGGGTTTGACTGGTTTTTAAGGAGAAAAGATGGCCCTCTGGTTTTTGGGAGAATAGGTGTATCTGGGCAGTAGCTGGCATGGGATGCTGGATGTGTAAAAAAAAGAAGAGGCCTTGGCCAGTTAGCTCAGTTGGTTAGAGCAATGTCCTGATACACCAAGGTTGCGGGTTTGATCCCCAGTCAGGGCCCATACAAGAATCAAACACTGCATAAATAAGCGGGATGACAAATAGATGTTTCTCTCTCTGTGTCCCTTCCTCATATACACTTAAAACAAAAGAAAAAATTTTTGGACTCTTGGACAATGTGGATTCCAAATATCGAGCACATTATAACCATAAGTGCCTTGAAATGTATCAGACCTTGTCCTCATTTGGAGTTTCGCAGAAATGCCCCATATTTTATCTTTTAGGTCATCATGGTCTTACCAAAACACTTGCTCTGATTGGTGGCCCGGTCAACAAAGACTTTGGCTGAGATGACATGGCCAAAGGGGACGAACATCTGGAGGATCTCTGAGTCAGTGAACTCCTGGGGCAAGTGGTAAATGAAGATGTTGCAGCCATCAGGGCCTGGGCAGAAGCGGAGACAAAAGGAAGAGCTGGGGGACTGGGGGACTGACTCCAGGAGCAAGGGCTCCAGGGAATCACGTCCTAGGAGGACCCTCCAATCCCAGCCTGCGGCCTGTGGGCCAGGGTGCCAGCCACCTTGGCCCTACTCCCTTTCTTCTCCAGCCATGGGGCCAGAGCTGGGCTTGGGCCGGGCGCAAGAGAGTCCCGAGCCCATGACACGGGCGCCCCAGTCCCCAAAGGCTCTCTGCTGGGCCCCCAGGCCGCACCTTCTCGCTGTTGCTGCTGCTGCTGTTGCTGCTGCTGCTGGGGGGGTGGTGGGGGCTGCTGGGCGACCAGTGCAGGAGGCTGCGGGAACGCAGGCGCAACCAGGCTGTAGGCTGCCGGGTAGGCTGCTGGGGTGGCGAGATAGAGAGCTACTGGGGCTCCCGAGAGGCCCCCGGCCCGAGCCCTCCCCACCAGCCCTGTCTCCTCGCCCCTGGCCCGGGCAATGGAGTTGGCAGGGTTGAGAGCTGTCAGAGAAGGAGCTGCCCCAGACCCAGCTTCCGGGCCTCCTTCCATCTTGCCATCCCTGCCCCCGGGCCTTGCCATCCCTCCCGCCTGGGCCAGGCCTGCCAGGCCCCTCACCTGTATAGTGCTGCATCCCTGCGTAGGCCTGCTGCAGGGGGTCCACCGGGGCCGCGGGGCTCTGGGCTGGGGAGAGCAGCGCCAACCGTGAGAGCAGAGGCTGGCAGGCGGGGAGGAGAGCCTCACGTGGGCTCAGGTATGAAATGAGAGGGTGGACGTGCACAGAGCCTGGGGTTAGCAACACTTCAATCTCACTGGCTGTGCGGCCCTGGACAAGTCCTTCTGCCTCTCTGTGCCTCAGCCTCCCCAGATGAGAACGGGAAGGAACATCCCTGCCCCGGTGACAGAGCAGGAGGAAGCCTTGTAACCCCCAACCCGGAGATAGGGTGTGTCACTGCCGCGCCCAGGGGGGTGCTGGCTGGAGGGTTGCTGGGAGAGGAGTGGGCAGCAGAGAACCCCACCTGGGTAGGGGTGAACCCCGTTGGGATACAGAGCATCAGGGGCAGGCTGCCCGGTGGGCTGGGCGGGCACCGGGCTGTAGCCGCTGACGCCCAGGGCGGCGGGGATTGCCGAGACAGGCGTGGCGGCGATGGCAGGAGGGGTGCTGGTTCCTGGGGAGGAGAGAGAAAGCGACAGAGACAGAGCAGAGAAGCCAACACACACACAAATGCAGAGGACTAGTCAGCGAGTCTGCAGGCGGCGGGAGGACGCGGGCTGCTTTCGGACCCCTGAGCGCCTCCTGGACCCCGAGGCTTCCCTGAGCCATGCCCTGTGCCCCAGTCCCCACCCCACCACGTGGTAGCTCGCCTGACCTTCTGCATTCCCGCCAGCCCAGCCCTGCCTGGGCCTTACCTGAGGATGGGGTGATGGGGGTGGCGATGAGGCCATTGGCATTGATGGCAGCCATGTGTTGCATCTGCACGGCAGCCATGGTGGCCATGGGGCTGAGGTAGGCACTGTGAGCCGCCACCAGGGCCGCCTGCTGCTGCATCAGCTGGGGGCAGGGCAAGAGAGGAGAGTGGGGCCAGGCTCCCGTGCCCTGGCGGCTCCCTGACCAACCCTGGGCCATGGCACTGGGAGGGCGAGGGCAGGGCCCAGGAGGCCCGGGGAGAGAAGGCGGGCCGGGCCGGCACCCCGGGGCATGCTCACGGCCTGGGTGTAGGCGCTGTAGGCTCCGAACTGGAGGGCGATGGGGCTGAACATGCCCAGCTGAGTGGCCACCTGCTGCATTCGGCGGAGACCTCGCTCCTTCTCTGTGTCAGCAAACTTCACCACCAGGCTGGATGAGGCACCCTGGGCATGGGCCCCAGAGGTGGACAGAGGGACAGAGGTGGGTGTCTCCCCCTCAGAGCCCTCGGGACCTGGCTCAGGTCCACCGCTCATGGCTTGGCCTCTGAGAGGACAGCCATCAGTGTGCCTCTGTCAAACGGGCAGATTTTCATGCCTCCCTCTCCCTGTGCCAGGACGTTCAAGAGACTAGAAGAAGCGGAGTGTGAAGGCATGTGTTTGAAAAGAGAAGGGGCTCCCGGAATGCAGAGAGCATGGCCGGCTTCTCCGTGAGGATTTGGAGCTGGCCATCCTCCCCAGGGTGGATCAGCCACAGAGTGTCTAGTCTCAGACTGCTCGTCCCTGGCTGCTACCCAACTCCCTTACCTGGATTCCCGCGTCCCCGCCCGCCCCCAGGTGTCGCGCTCAGGGGATGCAGCCTCAAATTTTAATACCAGCTTGAGCCAAATAAAAACCAAACTGGAACACTCACAAGGATCGCTGTAGAGCCTAGACTCTGGAATGCAATTCTCTACCCAATGCCGCCAGCCCCTACCAAGTCCCTGCTGAACCTCTGCTAGAGAACCTCAGGTTAGCAGGCACCTGCCTCCTTGGGAGCCGGCTAGTTGTGGCTTAGATGTTTGCCCTCCACCCTGTGGGTACAGTCAATTGACCCACTGCTCATGGGCAGGGGCAGCAGAATAAATGTGCAGGGGTCAGTGGGGCCTCTAAGCAAGTGTCCTGATGCCCAACCAATGAGGGCGGGGGTATGGGAAGGCAGAGAAGGGGTGCGAGACCAGAAGAGGGCTGAGGAAGGCAGGAGGCAGGAGGGGGGGTGAGGGCATTTGGATGGAGGGCATCAGGACAGGAACAAGGGATAAGAGGTAGGGAAATGTTAACTGAAATGTGAAGGTGTCCCTAAGAAGTTGGATGCTTGTGCCAAAAAATTCTTTCCAAGTAAATTCAAGACCCTGTTGGGAACGGACTGTCCCCCCCGACCCTGAGCCAGGCCTGCGGGTGGGCCAGGAGGGGCTGGAGAGGCCTGAGGGCTGGGGGAGCGGGCTCACCGGCAGGGTCCGGCTGCTGTGGAGGGTGTTGATGGCCGCCTGGGCCTCAGCGTGGGTCTGGAACTTCACAAAGGCGCAGCCTGGAGAATTCAAGGGAGAGGAGGAAAGGGTGAGCGCCCGCCTTTGAGCTCCCTACAGTCCCCGCTACCCAAGAAATCAGTGCAGGGGCAGGGGGCCCGGAGGGCCTGGGGCTGAGGAGGAGGTGTGGCGTGGACAACCTTTGCTGGTGCCGTCGGGCCCCCGCAGCACAGTGCACTCATCTATGGTCCCAAAAGGCTCGAACATCTTCCGGACGTCCTCATCTGTCTGCTGCTTCCCTAGCATCCCCACAAAGAGCTTCCGATCTTCTGGGGGATAGGGCACAGGAGGAAGGGCATGTTCAGGGCTTCCTGGCTGCCTTTCAGCTCCGTCCCAGCTTGGGATGGCAGAGACCCCACCTTTTACCTTTAGCTCTTCCCCGGAGCTCCCGACAATCCCTTCGCTCTGGGGACCAACGGCTTATGTGTGAAAGAGGTGATGGTTGGGGGATGGGTAGAGTTACACAGAGGGCTCGCCCCAGCTCTGAAGGACTTGCATTCCACTCTGGACCTCAGTTTTGCCATCTCTAGGATGGGCTGAAACGCATCCCCTCTAGCCACACCGATCCTGTGCCAGCCTTGACTGGGAACCCTTCAGAATTCTGACTTCCTTCCTTGAGAAAGGCTGCCCCACAGCTACTCCACGCCCTGGGCTTGCAGGATGAGGGAAGGGGACCGAGTCCAAGGTACAGAACCTACCTCCGCGGCTCTCGCTGTCAGCTGGCTTGACCTGGATTGGCCTGTTCATCTAGAGGAGAGAAGAGAAGGCAACTGCTGGTGACCTCCTCTGTGCACCCCAAGAGCCCTCCCCAGGCCAGGACCTGCAGAGAAGCAAGAGGGAGTAAACCCCAGGAACAAGGGCTCTCTCCAGCCCTCTAAATTGCTGGTGGGAAGGAAGCGATGGGGCCCAGTCTTGTTCAGGACTAGGACCAACAAGGATCGGAGGCTGTGGAAGGAGAGGATGTAGAGGGGATGCGCACGGGGTACGCTGCCAGGCCCAGGTGGGCCCCAGGTGACTTGGCCAGGGGTCGGTCCTGCTCTCCTGAGGGGAAGAATGGACCTGGGTCCTGAGATGGAGCCCAACCAATGGGCTCTTCAACAAGAGCTGCCTGAATTCTACGCAGTAGGAGCAACAGAGGCCACCCATCACCAAGCGCCAAGAAAGACTCTAGGCTGAGGGAGGCCCCACAGATGCCCCAACTTCCTTCTGACCCCTAGAGGTGTGTCTGCCTCTTTTTCTGCCCCCCTACACCCCTTGACCCCATGGGGAAGGCACTCGGGCAGCACAAAGGGAGCAGATGCCCAGTCTCCGTGGCAACGGGAGAATGCACGCCATGGCAACCGCCCACTCAGCCTGATTTATCCTTCCCCGTCGCCCTGGCGACCGTGGTGACGTCATCACTTCTGCTGCTCCGCACACCCGCAGGAGTGGGGAGGGGGTGGGAACAGGGTATGCTGGGGGTGGAGGATTTGGTGGGGGCTGGGAGTGGGGGAGGGGCCCAGAAGTGCTTCCTGGAGGGAGGCATGCTGAGCTGGCCCTGCGGGGGCCATACTGCCCCTTCTGCCTTCCTCCTCCAGATCAAACCCTTGGTGCCTCACAGCTGAGACAGCCCTGAGGACTGCTGTCCCGTGCCCCTTCAAGATTCTCCCTGTACCCGGAAGTCCTCCGGAGCTGACCCCTCGCCCCGACTCCGGCAAGCATCTCCCTTTTGTTCAGCTTCCAGTGGAAACGCAGACATGCCAGTTCCACCCTCCACTCCGGCCAGGGGCCTTGGGAATGACTCCTGCAGGTTGATTCCCTTATCCAGGTGGGGAGCATCTTAGGAACTAGGGTGGGAGGGGCCAGACTCAGCGCTCCGAGTCTGGAAATATTTTGCTATTGAAGGACTTTGACCGGTGGTGCCATACCTAGCCACCCCACTCATCCTACAGGAGGGCAGTCCTAGTTCCAGTGACCAAAAACAAATGAATAAAAGGAACTATTCATCTGCGTTCTGAGGGTGGACCTAAAGTCACCCTCAGGAAAGGTGCTGGGCTCGGAGGACTGGCCCCGCCACTCACTAGCTGGGTGACCTTGGACATGTCATTTCTCTCATCAGGGCCTCAGCTTCCTGGGGAGCTGTGTGTCGTCACCTAACACAGAGAAGGGCAGGAATGGTAGTTTGCCCACCCCCCACAGGCCGGCCCCCTGGGCATCACATTATGGTCAGACTGGACTCTGCCGGCCGGGGAATGCCCAGGCCTGGATCGAATCTAAGCCCCACCTCCACTGCTGGGCCTCCCTTGCTCCCCCAGTCTCTGGATTTGAGAGCAGCTGGCGGGGGGAGGGGGTCACACAAATCCTCCCGCCAATCTCCTCCAGCTTTATCATCTACCATTCTGGGATTATCCCATCTGAGGTTCAGTCTCCCCAGGAGAGGGTGTGTGTGGTGAGTGTGTAGCAAGGGGCGGGGGTCAGACACTCAGGCTCCTGGTCTTGCCCCCTCCTTCTGTTCTGTGCTGTCACCTAAGCAATCGGGAAGTCCCCTCACAGCACCTCAGCAGGCAGACACACACACACACACACACAGGAGAGTCAGAGCCAGGGTCGCAGGGTCGGGGAATTCTCCTGCTCACCGCTAACCCCTTCCCAAGAGGCCCCCGGGGATTTACTGTTCTAGTTGGGGATGGGGAACCTGGGGGCCAGACAGAAAGGATGCCGTCCCTCCCTGCACAGGCTCCCAGGCCCAAAAATAGCACATCAATAAATACCCACAGCTGATATGGATTTGCACAAAGGCACACAGGAGCATTCAGACCACAGCACAGACCACGCTGACAGAAGGTTCCCCCACACTCCCTCCCAGACACCCTCCCTCGGTGGCTCCCAGTGCCCCATAGCCAGCCTCCTCCTCCTGGCCTGGCACTTCCTGTGGGGAAGCTAGTCTTTGTTAGCTCGGCCCAGGCACACCTGCCCCCTCCCCTGAGTCCAGCTGGGCCCTGTTTACCTAGCAACCCAGCCTGGGTGCCTCTCTTCCCTAGCTACCACCCGCCAGGTGATAAGCCCTCCCTGAAGGCCTCCCAAAGAAGAAGGGGCTATTTATACTCCAGCGGAAGCATTACTGAGAGCCCCCTCACCAACATGGTCTCTTGGAAGGCCCCTGTTCTCCTCACCGAAAGCAAAGACCCCACTCCCAAGAATAGCTCATCCATCTCCTGAGGGCACAGGCCTGGGGCCCGGCCACTCCTGGCTCCAGACTTGTGCCCAGTGTCCCAGGCCACACGCAGGTCCTCTCCATGAGGCTATAGTCTGCCACCCAACAGAAGGGATGGTGTCCTATGTCCCCAGAGTGGGATTTTGACCCAAGGAGAGAAGGAAAGGCAGGCCAGAGGGAGTCCCTCATGCCACCACCCCCAGGAGGTCACACCCTGCTTGCAGGAAGAATCCAGGGACCTGTGGCAGAGCCACTTCTGGGTACTCATAGGGGAGAGATCAGGAAGTAGAGCTTGGCTGTCTTGGGCCCGGCCCCCATTCTGTCTCTCGGCAGCCTGAAGCATCACCCTAATATGGTGGCACCTCCCAGACTCTGGAGCGACAAAGATGGGGAGAAAGGAGAGAAGGCTGGATGACCCGATTAAAAAGGAACCTGCAGTAGGAGGGCATGCAGATTAGGCAGCAGGAAGAACGTCCCAACACAATTGTGCACGAGCTGGCCCACTGTGTACATACACACACACTCACACACTCTCTGAGGGGAAACAATGACACCAGGATGGCAGGTAAAGACCTGGGGACACAAAGGGTCACAGACATCTGCTCCCCTGACTGCCCTGGTCTTCTCCCCCAAGCCTGCAGCAAGGGGCCCCCCCTGGAGGATAGAAGCCCTCATTTCCTAGTAGAGTCCCTCTGCATCTGCCCTCTGGGGCAAGGGCCAAAATGGAGAGAGAGCCTCACCTGGAAGCTCAGGCGCAGGGCTAGGCAATCATTAACCGGAACGCCCTTCTCCCCTGTTTCCTATGGAAGGGGAGGCAGCACCTTTCCACACTCAGGACAGAGCTCTGCCTGAGCCACACGGGCGGCTGGAGGGGGACAGCCCCCAGCAGGCACAGGCAGCCCTGGGGCTCGTGCCCACCCCCAGCTCCAGCCTCCCTTCCTTCCTCTCCCTTCTCCCTGCCCCTCTGGTTTCTACAGAGGCTCTGAAAAGTGGGGAGATGACAAGAAGACAGAGAAACAGCAATGGAGTGAAAACTTGATTTGTGAGGGGCCTCCAGAGAGGAAAGGGAGAGAAAAGAAATTTGGGATGTGAAGCGATAGGAACCAGGCCTGCCAGGGATTCGTGGGCCCACACCCACACACCTGGCCTGTTGGCTGCCCACACACATGTGCGTGCATGCACACACGTGCTCCTGGGACTCCAGGCTTGCTCACACGCATGCACGGATCTTAACTCTGTGAGCAATGGCTGTTCTGCGCTGCCTCACCACCTACAGGGATCAGATCAGATAGTGGCTGACAGCAGGGAGCTGGCTGTTGATCTGCTGTTCTAGTGGTGCTCAGGGTTGCGGGCCATGGAGAGGAGTTGGGAGTGGTTGAAGCAGTTCTAATTTTCCTGGATCCTCCACCCTCTTTCTGCATCTCTTTTGTCTATTGCCTTCCCAGAAAGAGATGGAGAATCAGCCGACTCTCCATTTCCTACTTGGGGGAGGAGTAGAGGCTGGGACAGCTGTGTCCCCAGCACCCAGACAGCGCTTAGCAAATGTTTGCTAAAAGGATGGAGGGAGTTAGCTCTCAGGAAGCATTTCCTGGGGTTCACTCTGCTAGTGACAACAGAAGCAGATAGAGGGTGAAAATGAATGGCACAACTTCCTTCCCAGGTGGCATCATGTGGGGGGAGGGTGGGCAGGTGTCTGAGATTCTTCATTCCTGCCCATGCCAGCCCAGGCCTGGGACAATCTCCAAGGCGGGCTGAGAGGAGGAGACCGCGAGTTCTGACCTTGCAGGACTGGGGCCACACTTGGTGGGACAGAGCCTGATTCTCCACAGTGACTGTGCGTGCCCCGAGGCTTCCTCCCAGCCCGAGCCATCCAGGCCCTGCTCCACCCTAGCGTGCTATGGCCTTGTTCCCTCGCTCTTCTCTTCTTGGGTGACATGACATGAGCCTGTCCAAGCTCAGAAGGCAGCGTGGAGGTGCCAGGCCAGCAGGCCCCGGCTGCCCATCCCAGGCCGCAGGCGCTCCTCCCGCAGCTCACAGCCAGCCTTCCTTCCCAGAGCCACAAAAGGGAGCTGGAGGCCTCCTACTCTCTCTACCCCACGCTCGGTGTCCAACGTCTGCTCCCCATGCCTCCCAATCAGCTAGTCCTCCCTCTAAGTGTTGCCCCAAGTGCAGGTGGGAAGCGGAGAAGGGGCTGCATCTGTGCCTTACAAAGGCCACATTTACTCCGGTAACCACTTCTCTCCAGGTGAGGAAAAATGCACGCCTCTCCAGCAAGAAAGAGGGATACTAGGAGGCAGGGGCTTCCTGGTGACGAGAGCAGATGGAAAACATACTCAGTGTCCTGGGGAGGTGCTGAGCCCCCGGACCCTGCAGAGGCCCCTCTCAGCCCCCTGATCCTGGGTAGGCCGGGACTCACCCCTGGAAGCGTCTTCTGTTCGTGCAGGGCGCTCTGGGCCTTCAGGGCTGAATCGCGGGCACAGTATGTCAGGAAGGCACATCCTAAGGAGGGGCAGGGGCAGAGAGACCCGGTGGGAGGTGAGTCCCAGGTCTCCCCTGACTAAAAAGACCCCCCCACAGGAGACTGAGGTCTGGGAAGCTTGTCACTTCTTGCCACCTTCTGCCTGCTGCGGTGGGGAAGGACCTGACAGAGGGGAGGCCTTCTGCCCAGGGTATCTCTAGACTAATGAGCCTGGAGCTGAGACCCGGAGGCCAGGAGGCTTAACCGGCGGTGGTGGCAGGAGCAGGAGAGCGCCGGGGCTGCCGGGAGATGGGCTTTGTGTGGGGGGAGCAGAGGGGCCTGTGATCGCCAGGCAAGTGCATGTGGTGTGGTTTCCTCTCTTTCTTAGCTGGTGTCCTTTCCTCTTTCTCTTTGCCTCCATCTCCCTCCATCTTGTCACCATCACCCCTTTCCTCTCCCATTTTCCCTGTTTCCTCTTCTCTCTGGGAGGCAGCTGGGGAAGGTTGAGAGTAAAATAGAAAAGGGAAAGGAAGAATATCAGCGGAAGTCCCTGTGGAGGGGGCAGCAGTGTGGCCCTTCGGACCCCACTCCCTGGAACTCCCCAAGTCCCGACCCCGGGCCTGACCCTGCTGGGCCTCGGAGCACTTGGACAGGCCTGAGGCACTTCCTCGTTTTGCCTCCAGCTCTTAACTTTCGAGACCCCGAGGCTTCCCAGTTCTTGACCAATCTTTGTCCTTCATACCCTGCTCCCCAGGTGCCTCTCCTTAGTCCTGGGGCTGCCCTGCCCAGCCCATGTCTACTCCTTCCAGGCTGAGCACCTGACCCTGTGTCCTGACCTCCATCCCAATAGCATCTGAGGCTGCTAAGACTCTCAGTCTTGCACAGACACACACACACAGCCGCCCAGCTCCTGTCTCCCAAACCAGTTCCCTTGTTCCTCCACCCTTCCCCACATTCATCCATCCACAACCTCGCCCCCTTATCCCTGGGATCCATATCTCCGCAGCCCCCTTGACAATTCTTTCCCCAAGAAGCCTTCCTCACCCTCCATCCGGGTCCCCTGGCCACCCTAGCTAAGTCCTCTTCTAACTCCTCCATCACACTTCCCAGCCCGGAAACTCTTTTCCTTCCCCATCGGCCCTTCCCAGCCACTCCACCCCTCCAGCCCACTTCGGCCGCCCTCCCAGCCTCCCAGCCTCCCAGCCTCCCACCACCCCAGCCCGCTCCCTGAAGCCTCTCTCCAGCTTGGCCTGACCCCTCACCCTTGTGCAGCCCGGTGTACTTGTCCTTGATGACAGTCAGCTCGAAGATCCGACCAAACTGTTCGAAGATGGGCTTCAGGTCCTTTTCCTCCAGATGCCTCGGGATCTGCCCCACAAACAGCTTGATGGCATCCGGCTCCTTCATTGGGGCGGCCCAGGAGGAGGGGCCGAGGGGAGCAGGGAGAGGCCCAAGGGCCAGGGGGCGCTGCCCAGCAAGGAGGCAAGTGGTGGGGGCCAGGAGCCCGGTGGGCTGGCTTTCCCTTGGGCCCCCAACCACAGTGCTGAGCAGAGGGGCAGCTCTTCTCACACAAAGGAGGCTGGGGAGTTGAGGGCTAGGGGTCAAGGGTCTACGAAAGAACTGTCAAGCCACCAGGGGGCATAGCCCAAACAAATGATCTCTTCCTAGAGATTTGGCAAATATGCCAGGATGGGGGTCCGTGTGGCCAAGACCTGGAGGGTAGGGCGGTATCAGGGGTGCTGTGAACGGGGGCTGAGATGAGAGCAAGAGGTGGGGGCCAGGGCCTGAGGAGGGCAGTGGGGATGGGGGTTGAGGGTTTAGGGGCCTGATGTGGTTGCCAGCACGGAGGTGGGGGTGGGAGGTGGGGGGCACTCCTGATGTGGGGCAGGTGGAGCTCTCGTTGGCTTCCCTGAGAGGACACCTCCCCTGTGGCTGATCCTTCTGCTGGGTCCGAAGATCCCTGATGCCCGATGCTTGATCTCTGATGGCGGCAGGGCTCCGGGGGTCCCTTTTGCCCTGCCACCCCCCTTCAGGTCCTCCCCTCAGCCCCCCTCCCACCCCCACCCCTGTCCCCGGGCCTGGGCTGCTGCTGGCTGCTCCCGCTGCTGGGACTGTCTGCTTTCCCGGTCACCTGGGTCCCGGAGCTCTGCTCTCCGGCCGCGCTCTCCTCAACAAAAACCTCCCCCCTCCACACCCCCCTCCCCACTCCCACCTTCTTTCCCCTGACATCAGTGATGTCAGTCTCAGGGGTAGAATACAAATTCCCTACCCTGGAGAGGGACGCACAATCCAGACAAGAACCACGCCCTCTTTCTGTCTCCTTCCTTCCTGACTCCCTTCCCGCCCCCAGAAGAGCAGCTGGTCCCGTTGATAAGAACCCCTCCCCCATCTTACTCCCCAGTCACGAGTCGGGCAAGGAACTAAGATGGAGAATTTATAGACGAGCCCTAAGGTGGGGTTCATTGTTCCGGGGGCTGGAGCTGTCCCCGGTGCTGGAAGAGAAGACCCCCCATGAGAGGGGAGCAGGGGGGAGGAGGAGAGGGGAGCCAGCATCTGGGGAGACTGGGAGTGGGGAGTCAATGAAAGATCCCAGGGAAAAGAAAATGGCATAAGAAGAGTTGGGCAGGTTGGGGGATGGGGGTGGAGGGAGGTGTGACTGGGGAGGGAAGCAGGTCACAGAGCCTGGGGTGCGGGGGAGGGGGGGAGGGCAGAAGGGACCCAGAGAGGAAAGATGGAAAAGGGGAGGGCAAAGGGAGAGCCGACTGAGATAAATGCAGAGAGAAGGCTGTATATTTTCCAGAGAAGGAACCAAGAAAAACTACATCTTGCTGGCATTTGCCGACGCCCCCTTCTCTCCCTCTGGGGGGTTTGTGTGTATAAGTGCGTGGGCAGGGAAACGGTGGTGACGGTGGGAGCTCTCACTTGAAAGCTCCTTGAAGACCAAGACAATGTTTAATTCAGCATCTTACTGTTCACAGCGTCTAGCACAGTGTCTTGATCATACGTAGTAGGTGCTTAACAGATATTTCTCTAATAAACAAACGGTTGATGCAAAGAACCGCTGACAGAGTCGAGTCTCGATTCCCTCAGTGGGAAGAACCACAGCTGTCACACTCTCCTTTAGGGCAAAGGAAACCCAATTACTTCTCTTTTCTCCCCGGTGTCCCCCCTTCCCCTTAGGTTTCGTGAGTGGGACTCTCTGAGTCAGTGGCGAAGAGGGTGGGAGAGACACCTTGAGGGGCCATTACTCCCCTAGACAATGTTATTAGGGATGATCAGTTTGCTTCACCATCCTGAGGGAGCTCGGCCCTTCCATGCACTGAGCCCACTCATCCCCCTGAACGCAGGGAGTGTCTGCTGACGCCAAACCTCCTGAGTGGGGCAGCTCTTGTCTGCCTGACATCAGGTGCTCACCAGCAGGGGCTCAAAAGCTTTTGTGGAACACCCTGCCTTCTGTCACCCCCTTCTTCACCCCAGAGTAGGACTCACATCTCCACAGTGGTGCAGGTATGTCTGAAAAATGCCCCAACTGAATCCCAGAAGCCCTTTCCTCAACTGTCATGGCAAGCAAGTTTCTCTTCTGGAAGGGAAGTCATAGTAATAGCACTTAGTACTTAGTCTGCCCTAGGCATTGTTCCAGCTGCTGTATATTTACTAACTTGTTTAAATCTCAGCATGACTCTATGGTGTAGATTCAACTATTATCTCTAAATAAAGATGGGAAATCAAGGCACAGAGAGTAAATGACTTTAAGTTCATGCAGCTAGAAAGAGATCTAGCTGAGAGTGGAGCCAGGCATCCCGGCTCCTGAGCCCACACCTTTAACTCCCATGTCAAAAGCTCCTAGTGAGAAAGGAGTGAGTGGTTAAGCCTGGCCTTTATTCTTCCTGTGACTTCATTTGAGCCCTGAGTGAGAGATGTCCTTCTTTCTAATGTCCTTCTTTCTACTGCTTGATTCACTATGACCACTTTCCATCCTTCCTTATTGTGGGTATCTATGGCCTGAAGCCACATTCTGATAGGTGTGTATATTTGAGTGGGTGTGTGTCTGTGTGTAGACATAATTATACTTCATCGTATGGACGGACACCCAGTCCCTCCCCGTAGGGTCCTTTAAGGTGGGCGGGGTGGGGGGAGATGGTAGAGGAGCCGGTGCTGGGTGGCCAGAGCACGGGATGACAGTGCCAGGGAATCGAGAGAGCGTGCGCATCTGGAAAGTAAGTTTCCGCTCGCCTCCTTCACCCTCTGTGCACTTTTTCTTGCTTCTAATCTGATCTTAGTGTTTATGGAGATGATAAACAGATCACGCCCTCTGAGGACAGAGCCGAGGAAGACCCCGCTGCCCTTTTGATCTCATTACTCTGTGTCTTGTCAGCAGATCTGCCGCCCTGCTGCTCGTTTAGGCTCGGGGCTAATCATATTAATTGAAATATTAAACATTCACAAAAATGAATTATAATGAACTCCCCTCACTCCTCCTCCCAGTCAGCATGGGGGAGTCAGCTGCTGGCGGCATAATGCCTCCAATCCTTCCCTTAGTTTGTGGTCAGATGGCAGGTTTCAGTCTAGGGGGAGAGGCAGGGTTTAGGGGAGAAGAGGTGGGAGCTCTCTTCAGGCCCTCTTTGCTGGGTGGCTGTGGGCACATTTCTGTTTTCCTTCAGGCCATGAGGGAGGGGAGCCCTGTGAGGTAAAGTGTCAGGGAGGGGAAAACTCTAGTGGCTCAGGGGCTCATTCTGGGGAGCTGCTCTCCAGGAGGAAGTGAGGCTTCAAGGCCCTAGTTCCCCCAAGGTAGTTTTTCTGTCTTCAAGTTCACCCTCTTTCTTTTTCCTCTGCATTCAGTGCTAAGCTGCCCTACATTAAAAAAAAAAAAATTATTTAAAAAAAATTGAATTTATTTGGGTGACATTGGTTCACAAAAAAGATTATTGATTTTATAAAGGGAGAACTCACTCCTCGTTTTAGATTCTTAGGAAATGAGAAATGCTGAATAATTGGGATTTTTTTTTTAAACAAGCAAAATGTAGTGGTGTTATGTGTGGGCAGAGTGGCTAGTCACCAAATATTTGTTGTCCTCACTAATTGAAAACACAGTGAAGACATCTGCAGCAGAAAGGACAAAGAATTGATAATATAACTTTCTTTCCCTCAAATGGAGAGGTAGATGGGAGGCCAACACAGTATGCAGTAGGGAGGACTGAGATGTGAAGAAAGCGAAAGCAGCCTCTCTCATTTACACCCACAGGTATTTGGGATTTGTCCAGTGGGAAGTGGCCAGTCAAGGAAGGCTTGAGTGGTTCTCAAAGCACAAGACTATCATAGGCCACCAGGAGGGGGATGTTAGTTATTCTTTGTATGGAGAGAATGGTGCATACATAAGCAGGGGTAGATTTGCCAGTCCAGCCCAGCACTGTTTAATATAATGTAAGCCATATATATAATTAAAAATTTTCTAGTAGCCACATTAAAAAAGTAAGAAGAAACAAGTGAAGTTACTTTTATTAATATATTTTACTTAACTGATACATCCAATATTATTCAACATGTTTCTATGATATATCTAAAATATTCAACATTTAACCAATATAGACTATTAATGAGGTACATTATATTATTTTATACTGTTTTCAAATCTAGTGTATATTTTACACTGACAGCACATCTGACACAGCAACATTTCAAATGTTCAGTAGGCACAGGTGGCTCGTGGTGATCACACTGGATGGTGCAGCTCTGGAGGTTCCACCATTAACTTCTCCAGGGGACAGAGGAGTAGGGAGAGACAGGCCTTGGTCAACAGAAACTATCACCTCTGATTAATCTCTGCTCCTGCCTGAAAAAAAAAAAAATCACTTTGGGCAGATGGCAGCTTATCTGCCTCTCACTCTATTAGCTCTCTCTCATGAAAAACACAAACAACCAAAACGATTACTAACCTGGATGAGGTTCTTGGGAAGAGGCCTGTAGCCCACCATCTAATCTGCCTCTCCTGGGTTTTTACTGGCTTGGGAACTGCCAACATTTTCACTTTTTTTTCCTCAGTCTTTGCCAAGAAGGATAGAGGCAACCACTGAGAGGCCCCTCCGAGGCCATAGCCGAATGCAGGGCTTGTTTCTCAGGCTTCTTCCTTGCTCCAAGGGCAGTTGTTCACAAACCTGAAAAGACAGCCTCCCTTTTGCATTCTCTTCACTAGCTGGCTGGCTGCTGGCTGGCAGAAGACCTCTGCTGGGCGTGGTCCCCGGGGGTGTAGTACTGAGAGGAGACAGACTCCTGCCCATTCCAGGCCTCTAGTATCTCAGCTCTCTGGCTCCACGTTTCGCTTCCCTTCTTAAATAGATACTAGAAGAACGTATCTTGAAGACCGACTGCCTTTTCCCTGCCCCGATGAGAATGGGGGAAATAATTTAGAGTTTATGAGGATGACATTAATCTACACCAGACAGGCAGTCCAAGAGGGGACACTTCTAACAGGATGTTCCCCCAGGTCTTTTCCAACATTTTTAGTCGGAAACTGTTCCTTCCTTTGCAGAAATCAGTTCACTCCATCCTGTGGGGTGCTTTCATGCTGTATTAAGAATTCTACAGTTCGATGTCAAGGGTCCACAGAGACAGAGGTAGGGTTTGGCTTCTGGGTGGGCGGAGAGAGAAGCCTGGGTCCTTTTGCCCTGTACTAGGCTTCATCCATCTTCGCCCAAGAGAGGGTCAGGAACCAGATTCCGGGAGACTGCCTTAGGAGTTCCTTTCCAGTTTTGCTCTAGAGCTAAGAAAAAAACTATTTGAGGTTGGGTGGGGTCAAGAATAAGGGCTCCCTATATAGACAATCAAGCCGGGAGATCAGTCCCCAAAGCTGGGGCAACCTAACCTTCCAGAGCTCACTCCTCAGCTTCAGAGCCGCCCCGCTCAGCCTCCTCTGGGCCGCAGGAGTGGGCTGGGTTTGGGGGCGGGGCCTCACCCGCGCGGCCCGTCGCCTTGACGACCGCGACAAGATGGCGACGCTGCAAGGCGGGATGCTGGGGCCAGACCCCGGGGCGCTAAGCCCAGCGCAGCTGGAGCGATTGCGCAACTTCAAGGTGGGTGTGCTCCCACCCTCGTCTCCACCTAAATGCAGCTCCCCCAGGATAAGGGCCCAGTCAGGGAGGAGGACACCGAGAGAGGGTAGCCTGTTCCAGATAAAGGGGCGGAAGCCTGGGGGCAGAATCCCGGCGAATCCCTGAGCAGAGGCAGGCTCCTCGAAGTGCAGGAAGAACTAAAGCAGGGATCTGCATTAAGGAATGGACCGAAATTGCTGCAGGATACGTTAACTTAGACACAAACCAGGACTTCCCGACGACGGAGACCCGACCTTAGTTTAGGCCCCTAAGCCTGAGTAGGAGGCAGCAGAGAGAGAGATGCTGATCTCTAACGAGGCAGGGCTTACTTGTTCAAACGCCCTGCAAAAAGACCCGGGTGAAGGCGCACGTCGCTTCCTCAGCCCTTCACACCTCCAGGGTTTGAACCCTGAAATCTGCCTCCTAGTGGAGCGTGACCCTTTGCTCTTGTCCCCAGATTCAGACTCGGATTGCTAACGAAAAGTACCTAAGGACCCACAAAGAAGTGGAGTTGCTCTTAAGTGACTTTTTCAGGTAGGTGGTATTCCAGACTGGCCTTGAGCAGCTAGTGGAAAAGCTTACCAAACCTGCGGATAGATGACTGTGACTCCTTCCCTTCAGCCCTCCCTATTGCTTCCTCTAGGGTCTGAAAGCTACAAAATATCCTAAGAGTTAATTGTTTTCAACTTTGGGGATTCGTGGCCCCCCAGGGGTTTCTGGAGTTATCTCTTGAGGTTTCCTTCAGTTTATCTCTAAAGTTTCAAAAAATATTAATATTCATTCGTTGTAGCTGTAAGGAAACCTATATACCTTATGACACTTGGAATAAGGAATTGGCATTGAGAAACTCAACAGGCAGCCATTGGGTATAAAACATTATTCTGAGAATCTTAATGAGATTCTCAGAATAATCTCATCAGAGAAGCTTAACGAGATCACTAGACCTTTAAAAAATTCAGTTGTTTAGCCCTTCCCTACCTGAGGGCATAGTTGCAGAAAGATTCCGAGAGCTGGCACTCTTCTGTAAGTCTTGGGAAAAGACCATTTTCCAGGGTATCCTGGAGCATGTTCCTTCCATCCCCCATACTGCTTTGCAGTATAGCATGTGTTTGAATAGAAAAATCTCATGGGATGAAAGACAAAGAACCAAGGGGGGAAAATCATGGAGCAGTGATGGGTGAAAGTAATAGAGCTATCTCAAGTGCTGTTTGGCTATAGACTCATAGGCACAATTTAAATCGTAATAATGGCTTTCGTCTGCCAGGCACTGTGTTGGTTTCCCGCATTAGAAGTTACCACACAGTATTGTAATTGCATTGTCCATCCTGTTTCTCTGCCTGGACCAAAGCTCAAAGCTGGTGGAGCCACATTTGTGTCCCCAGTGCCCACACAGTGACGGCATCTTGGTGCACTTTCGCTGATCCTCCAGCAACTGTACAAAACAGAGCATATTATCACTTCCATTTTATAGGCTTTTAAGTTAAGCCCTGAGAGGTGAAGTACCTTCTTCAAGGTGCTGAACCAGGACCCAAACCAGGGTGTTTTCCACTGTTTTCTTGTAAGGATATGGAGCTGGGAAACCAGAGGTGGGGCTCTCCTCTCTCTTCTCAAAAGCAGACCTGGAGAGGTGTCTTTGGTCCCAGGCCTCTGTTTTTCCTGGATTTCACCATTCTTTACATTTTAGCCATTTCTCCAAGTGGCAGCAGATTCTCAGAGGACAGGAGGAGAGAGAGAAAGGGAAAACTGAAACCTGTCTGTGAAGGCTGGTTTTATTTGGGCCATGGGTGAAGCCTGGGCAAAAGGTGGGTTAGGGGGGTCCTCTGCCAATGTCAGCCCTGGGCACCAGGCCATCACTTTCCGCACCTTGTCTTCTAAAGGGGAATAAGGATGACATTCTTCCTATCCTGGGGAGCTTGCAACCGAATTAAGAATGATTCCAGCAGGGAGCTTGGAGAGGTTGAAAGCCGGAATTAAATCATCATGTGTGTTGTTCACAAAAGGATTAGAATCCTTGGGGGTGGCGAATGAAGAGGGTGTTTTTTCAGTCACCTGTCAGGGAAGACCCTATTTCTATCCTAGAAGCAGTTTCCGGGAGCTGGACGTCTGTGCCCGGCTGCAGAGGGACAGACCCAGGCATCTTCCCTTTCCTTCCTTATCATCCCCCCTCCCCAGACCTGGCAGGGCCAACGGGCTTTTCTTGCTGTCCCTGGATCTTCCCGACATGAAATCCTCATCCTCTTTGCTCCTTTTAGCCCTTTCTCTTTCTGGGGTGGAGGTGGGAGAGGGAGAGGAAGTGTTTGAGGTTTGGCTTTGCTCTTGTTTGTTTGGTGTTACTGTTGTTTTCCTTTGGGTGGTGCCAGGATGAACCAGAATCAGGCCTTGCCTGTACTGGATGCTTCATATTGTTCTTCCAGTGAAAAAGAGGAAGGGAGAAGAGGCGACAGAATCCTGGGCAGCACACCTGTCCTTACCTGTTGTGCAGGTCTCTGCTCTAGGCCCACTCCAAGCCACCAGAAGCTTTGAACTGTTTTTGTTGGGAAGCAAGCTCCTCACTTGGGTTTTCTGATCCTAGTGTTTTATGGCCATTCAGCCAGGGCTCTCCAGTCTATACTCCTACAGTGTACAGAACTCTTAATACCTTGAATTTTGAACCTGCAGAATGGAAAGAGGAGGGACCCTACTTACTTTAGGTACCCAGATAGTTCAGATTATAGGCTGGAGATATGATAGCAGAAGAGTGAAATTTTAGAAAGGCTTTATTAAATGTTTTTGTAAATACTCAGGCAGATGAATCTTCCCCCATACAGCACTGATCATAGCATTCCTTGGCTGGAAAAATCTTCAGTGGATCTACACCATTGCTTTTCTTTTTTTAATATTCTATTGAAATACAGAGTTCAGCAAAGTGGCATAGCCTAAACTGGATGAAGTTGCACAAGTGAGAACGCCCATGTGACTGACATCCAGAGCACGGAATAGACCCTGATAGCACCTCAGGCCCCCTGTGGCCCCTCCCAGTCACTTCCCCACAAAGGGGAGCCAGCATCCTGACTTCAAATAGCACAGATCTGTTTTGCCTTGTTTTAAATGGATTTTTACAGTCTGTACTCTATTGTGCCTGGCTTCTTTTGCCCAGCAGTATCTTGCAGATCCCCATTCTCTTTTCTGTATTGTATTCCACCTTGGGACTATGCCAGGCTTTATTTATACATTGCCATTGTCTTTTGAACTGAGTATAAATGTCTCTCCTTGGCCTTCATGGCCCCCGTAATAGAGCCTCCTTCACTTCCTGCTGCTCCCTTCTTGTGCCCCCTACTCCAGCCAGACCGAACCTCCCTGATCTTTCCACTGACCTTGTGGAGGGCCACAGCGCTCCTTGAGTGACCCAGTACCTATTCTTGGGGAGTTCACCATCTATAGAACACAGACTGTTTCATTTCTGGGTCTTTGCTCTTGGGGCTTCCCTGGGTCTGGAATGCTCTTGTCCCTTAGCCCTTGTCCTGCATGGAATCCCATGCGCACCTCAAGGGTCTTCTCAAGTGCCAGCTGCTCTGTGGATATTTTTGGGGTCCTGATCGTAGTAACTTTCCTCTCTCTCTCTCTGATCTCCCAGCACACTAATACCTGTTCTTGTAGCACTTTCTGGAGCTGGCCGTTTGGACACTTGGGAACTTACCCATTCCCTTTTACTTGATTGTAATTTCTTTGAGGTGGGGCATCAGTTTATCTTTAAAAATATATCAGTCTCTCATGTCCTGGCCAGGTGACTCTGTTGTCCTGTACACCAAAAGGTTGCGGGTTCAATTCCTGGTCAGGGCACATACTTAGGTTGTGGGTTTGATCCCTGGTTGGGCTACAAGTGAGAGGCAACCAATTGATGTTTCTCTCTCTCTTTTTTCCTCTCTCTCGAAAATCAGTAAATATATCCTTGAGTGAAGATTTAAAAAAAATAACCCCCCCCCCCCATTCCCCGCAATCTCTCTTATCTTATGCAGTTACTTGTGCATAGTTTTGCTCACTAATTCTCCATCTGAATTAAAGGAGAAGAAGGGAAGCAGAATTCTTAATGCTTGAGGGACAGGGGCTACCTGGGCTGGTGAGGACTGGCAGGCGTGGCCATGAGGACATATGGAGGGAACACAGGCCTTGTAACCACAAAACCTGGGCCTCTCCTTTACTTACTTGCTTTATGAACTTGGGCAAATGATTAACCTTTTGAAGGCTTGGTTTATTTATATGTAAAATGGCACAATCATTCACCGGTTGTAAATTGAGATGACATTTGTGAATGTATTTTGTGAACCATGAAACTCTATGCGAGGTAAGGCGGTTTTGACTCCCCAGGAGTGCTGGGCCCTCGAGTGCTATCATAGGGTCTGTCTGATGGACCGGACGGCCACCAACCCCCTTAGTCCACCTTTTCAGCTTTGTTTTATTGTATTTCAAGTCCCCCCCCCCCCCGTGGAAATTCATGGTTAAACTTACTCAGAAGATTATGGGATTGCATATCTCTTCCACCACCCCTTGAGGATGAGGGGGCATGCCCTTCATCTTTGCTGCCCACCCCTGGCGTGGTCTCTGGTTCTGTGAGTGTGTTTTTGAACATATGACAAGCTGCGCTTGGCTTCAACACAACAGCCCTGAAAGTCCCAGACCCGCGGTCACGGCACACCTGCCTTAGAGCCTGCTTTTTATCCCATCCTCATCCCTTAATGTTTTTCAGAGAAATGTTTCTGAAGAGGCCAGACAACATCCGAGAATTTGCTGCAGGTAAGTGAGGCAGCATCCATTTCAGATGTTTGATAAACCAGCACCAGCACAAGTATTGTGAATTTAGACTCAGACAAGCCCAGGATTCTCCGCACAGCCTGGGGTATGTCTTCACCCCTTGTCCCCCCAGGAAGCTTTCCTCAGAAGGCTATTTTGTCCAATGTCATTTCCTCAAAACAAGGACAGGTAAGAAATGAGGCACAACTTCCTTGTAGTGAGGGTTGAGAGTTTTGAGTTTCTCAAAGGAACCTAGTGATAGCTTTTTCCCTGGGAATCTGAAAGCAGGTTCTCTGCTCTGGCCACACATCAGAATCACCTGGGGAGCTTTTAAGACACCGAGGCCCAGGCCCACCCCCAGAGGTTTTTATTTAATTAGTCTGGGGTGGGGCTCAGCCTCCACAGTCTTAAAGGCTCCCTGGGTGACTCTAATGGGTTCCACTGCCCTGAGATGGCTTAAGGTCAATGGTATTTAGAGGGGAGGGGCTGGGCTGCATGATTTCTTGGGTTCTGTTAGCCCTGGGAGTTGGTTACATCCTCAAACCATTTCTAACTGCATCTAAGTGCGTCTCCACTGCCACAGCAGATGCTGTCTCTGATTTACATTATGCTGGGTGTATAAAAACCCTTTTCTGTCGTCATTCTCCGAGAGCCTGGCTCTCCTCTGAGAGGATATTTTCAGGGAGGGTGTGATATCTTGGAGACAAGAGCTGGCAAGCTGAGCGGAGACGAGAATAACACTCGGCATTTATTTGGGTCCCAAGATGGGCTGGGAGCAGAAAACCCAGAGGCTCCCTCAGCCCTCTGATGGCTCCCTGTGCGTCAGCAAGCAGAGGAACACCCATGTGGAGGCCCAGGAGCTGTCCCATGTAAGCCCCTTTCTCTGGCACGCTGGAGCTGGCAGCCTCAGAACTGCTGGGGGAGGGGCTAAGTGGGGGGAAAGTGATCACAGGATTCACTGTGACATCTCATATTAGGTGGTAAAGCGGGGCCACCAGTAACATTTCTGCGAAGACCGAGCCAACCTAACTTTTTAGTGGAGTAAGCTGTCTCCCCCCAAAGTCTTTGTCCCTTGGGCTTAGATGATTTCTTCTTTTTTGATTCTTATCCCAGACTATTTCACGGATCCAAGACTTCCCAACAAGATTCACATGCAGCTAATTAAGGAGAAGAAAGCGGCTTAATTAGCAAAATCATGATGCTCTGCTGTTGAGAGACCAGAAAGAATCCAGCCTGGGGGTGGGTGTTAACCTCACTTGCAGACAGACGCTCCTTTACTCTTGTAAATTAAGCACTGGCTTCTGGGCCCAGGGTGTGAAAGAAAGCAAATGGAGAAGCCAAAGAGAAGTTTCATGCAACTGTTTAGTTTTCTTGACACTATTTTGGGGACTAGGGACTGTGAAGAGAGGCCCAGGGTTTGTCTAGCGTGTCCGTGGCAGGAAGAGACATTTGTCTTAATCTGAAGAAGTGGATGAAGAGAATGGAAGTGGGAGAAGTTAGGGGTAAAGAGAGTGACAGGGAGATGAGGGTGGGACCTGCCTGTGTCAAGACCTTGCTCTCAGACTGCTCCCGTGGACGCCTTTTCCTTTGTCCTCGGAGGTGAGGGCAGAGGGCTTCTGGAAAGGGTGAGAGCGCTTTTCCTCCTTGCCTCGTGGATTAGGCAGTTCCTGCTCCCTTCCCGTTCAAACCAGGCTAGGCCACTGGGGCCATCACAAATTTTACAGGCAGGATGATTTCTAAAATGATTTTGATAGTTGGGATTTTTTTCTTTTTTTTAATGTGAGGTGGGAAAAAGCCACACTCCTGATTTAGCAGAACCATTTTTGTTTTGCAGGGTCATCTGGAAGTGAGTCCTGTTGTTATCGGTGTGGGTTTTCAAGCTGCCTTGGGCTCTGTCTGCTTTGCAAAGGCTTTTAAAGATACTCATTAAAAACAGACCTTCCTGATCTCTCTGCTTTATTTCACTCAGAAGGAGAACGACAGCCTTTGTGGGAGGACTACTCTGCCCCTACTGGGACCTGGTAGGCGGTGGGCCTGTTCCTCTCTCATTGGCAGCCTGTGGTCCACTCAGTTAGGTCAGGCGGCTGTTTCCACATGGACCTCTGTATGTGTACTCCCCACCTCTCAGGCCACCCACTGCAGAGCCAAGACCTGGAAGAAAGAACAGGGGTGGGGACCCTGAGGAACTGAAGGTGTACTGAAACAGAGTCTACCCTTCAGCAGTGGCTTTTGATTTTTCCTTATCTTACCTTCTGGGTATATAGGTGATGATTAACTTTTATTAACTTAGAAACAGTAAGAGGAATTGGGCTGGAAGGACAGCAAAAGAGAATGAGATTAGACATAGAAAACCATTCAGGATCAATGAATACCGTGAAGTATGAGCCTAAATGGGTGACTCAGAGAGGTGGTAGATTTTGTTCTTGAGGATTTTTAGAAACAAGGCATCCATCCATTTGGTTTTCAGCTAAGAGGCATGGCCATGGACCACTTGGTCTTAGGAAGTCCTTTCCAGGCCAGGAGGCATGGATGTTGCCTGTTTATGTCTTGCTTGGCCTCCACCACCCACTGGCTCCACTGTACGAAGGACCTGTCATCTGTGTGTCAGTTGTCAACATCACTATGGCAACAGAAGCACAGCCCAAAGCAGAGACTGTATTTGCCTTATCTCTGTTTTGTTCTCAGCTGCAGTAGTAGAAAGGGCAACAAACAAGGGCATTTAGAGAACTATTAAAAACTATACATAATAAACTACTGAATACAAACCTGAGGCATTATTTTAAGTGCTTTGAGAATCACACCTCAGTAGCTATGGCTCAGTTTAGAAAATCCTAATGAAGTCTTCAGCAAAAAACACATCCGCTGAGGGCCTCTGATGGAAGTGTTACAGTGGACACTTTTGGAACCTTTCTTGGGATAAGCAACCTGCACCAATGTGGCAAGAGAGCAAAGTGTTTTTCAAGATGTTTGAGTGCATGATTTAATACTGTGAGAGCACAATGGCTCATGCTTTGGGGGGTGGGGAGTTCCTGGTAGGCATGAGAAATGAATTTCATGTAAACTGCATTTCATCATATGTGGAATCTAATGAACAAATTGAACTAACAAGGAAAACAGACAGATTCATAGATGGAGAAGAGATGACAGCTAGTGGAGGGGGGAGGTTAGGGGGTAGAGGGATTAAGCAAGAGGAAAAAAGGACTCATGGACATAGACAGCAATGTGGTGATTGCTGCGGTGAGGAGGGTATAAAGGGACTAAATGGTAATGGGAAAAAATATAAAGATTAAATTAAAAAATAAAATAAAATATATATCAAAGCCTTCCTGAGTAAAGAACGCTTTTAACAATGGTTGTAGTGCATCTGCTTTGTGTGAGACAGTGTGATAGGTCCTGGGAGTAAGGCAGAGAGAGCCATGCAGTGGTTTATGGTCTGGGAAATGGGCTGCTTTTCTTCCCAAGCCTTAACTGTCTAAATATCTCACCTTTTAGACTGGAAGCTCCATCAGGGCAGGGACCAAATTCAAAAATCATACTTGTTCACGATTAAATTCCCAACTCCTAGCACAGTGCCTGGAATATAGCAAGTGCTCTGTTAGCATTTATGGAGAGAATGAATGCTTGTGTAATTGAGTCCTCACTTTTTATCTGTTGCTATGAAAACAATTATATACCTATGATGGAAGTAGATACATAATAGGGGAAATGATAGAAGAAAGAACACCAGGTCTGCCTGTGGGAGTAAAGGAAGGCTCATGGAAACTGGCATGTGATGGATAAGAAGGGATTTGCCAGGCAGATGCGGGGGGAGGCGTGGGGCAGTAGGGTACCGCAGTGCTTCCATTCTGCTGAGCAGGAAGGTGGTGGCAGGCCCTGTTTGTTGCCTGCTCATCCTCATTACCCCTTTCTTCCTTACTAACAGAACACCCGTTTTACTGAGGGCAGTAATGGGCTCTACCCCAAGTGGAAGATTATATTTCTCTAAGCCAACCACAGCAATCATGTTCCCTGATTTCCCAGCTTCTCTTGTAGCTAGGGGAAGCCATATGTCCATGAGACAGCTACTGGTAAGTGTTCTGGGGGTTCCTAGGAAAGCTTTTGCTTTCATAACAAAAATACAGGAAAGGATTGTGACAAATTAAGCTGGCATAGCCCTTCCTTTTCTCCTTTTTCTCCCTGACTTGAACCTGAATGTGATGTCAAGCTGAGGAACCATCTCAAGGCCATGAAACAACAAGCAGAAGGGTGAGAACCAGTCCTCTGAAGTGGCAGAGATGTAATATCAGAAGACTCTGAGAACCTGACAGCATCTTTGAGCACCTGAACAGCCCAGCAATCACCTGCCTTCAGAATTCTTGGCAAGTGAGGAAAATAAATCTCTCATTTGTTCTGAAATCAGGTCAGAGTTTAAATTCTGACACGCCACTACTAGCAAGATGTGTGATGTTGGCCAAGCCACTAGTCTTCCTTGAGCATTGAGTTGAATTAGGGATGGAGAATCTAGGGATGAACTAGGGATGGTGCCTAGCATGTGGGAGGTGTTCACTAGGGGTGTGTCCTATTGGAGGTGTGTAAAATGCAAAGGTGGGAGTAGTGGGAGACAAGAAGGTGGGGACAAATCACAAAGGGCACTGTATATTAAGGCAAACAAGTTTTGTTTTTTATCATGCAGTCAATGGAGAGCCAGCAAAGAATTTTAGGTCAACAAGAATCGATGAAGAGATTTGTATTTAGAAAGTGTCATACTGTGGAAGACAAATTAGAGAAAACTAAGGGTAGAGTAGAAAGACGTGTACGGAGACAATCGCCATAGTCCAAGCCACCATGTCTCTATGCACCACTTCACTCATGTCTTAGTTGGTCTCTTTGTTAACTCTTGCACCCACTATATAAGTTGAGAATGTATTTAGCTGCATGTAACAGGAACCCCAATTTATAGTATCTTATACAAATAGGGGGTTATTTTTCTCACCTAATAAGAGCTCTAGCAGTCAACAAAATTCAAAGGTTTAATGACATAGACCAGTACCCGCACCACGCTTCTACCTTTTCACGGCCAGCCGGCGGCCTTACAGTTCCGAGAGGGCCCCTGTACCCCCAGGGGCCATTTGTGTGCTGCGAGTGGGAAGAAGGAAGGAGAGCCACACCAGCTGCGTCTGTCCCTTTTTAGCAGGAAAGAGAAGTTTTGAAAATCCTCCCCACCTATGCCTCACAGGGTCCTGTGGTTCACCCCAAGTGCAACAGAGACCAGGGAAGCGAAATTTTAACTCCTCTAGCTTTTAGAGCAAAAAGTGGCAAGAGAAAAGAGTAGGAACAGCTAAGTCAGCCCCAAAGCAGTGTCTGCCCACCTGCATCCCTGACTCATTCTCCACGTTAGAGTCAGAGCAAGGATGAACTTTAAGAAACCTAAATCAGAATATGTTACTTTTCTGCCTAAAACCCTTCAGCGGCCTGTCATGCACTTAGAATAAAACCCAGACAACTTTCCAGGGGCTACAAAGTTTTGCAAGATCTCCCCCGCCTCTTTGATTTTATCTCTCTCCCCCCACCCCATGCCCCAGCCATATCCATCTTTTCTATTTTCCTCAAAACATGCTAAGGTCGTCCCCACGAGGGTCTTTGAACTCTGCCTGGATTTCTCTTCCCCTGATCTTCACAGGACTGGTGGTCCAAGTTGGGGTGCTCTACACAGAAAGGAAGAGAAAAATCTGCTACAAGTAAAACTCTGTTAAGCAAAGTGGGCGTGCTTTCCTCACACAGCAAGGATGGAGGCGGCAGCTGCTGGTGTTGGTTTAGCACCTGCCTCTTTCAGTTTCCTCTTTTTCCCTTATGGTCATGGAAGAGCAGGAGAACCAGGAAGGGACTCTACTCTGCTCGTGGTACTTGTCTTTATTTTCCAAAAAGCAAAAGCTTCCCTCTTCCAATTTCCACTAATATCTCATTGGCAGAAATGTGTACAAGGCCCCCTCTTTAAGGAAGGCTGGGAAATTGAGTTATTTAGCCAACCAACAGTAGCTTCTTGACACTTTCTCAGAGAGTCCTTCCCTAGGGATCCAGCTGAAGTAACCTCCCCAAGACATTTGTAAAATATTTAATTAAACTCACTCCCCCACCATTGTATCACTGTTTTGTTTTTACCCAGCAATGTCTGATACTGTCTCTTTTTGTTTATTTTCTCATTATTTCCTGTAGTTCCAAGAATGTGAGCTCCAGTGAGAGCAGGCCTTATCAGCCTTGTTCATTGCTCTAAGGCCAGCGAACAGTAAGGACTGCCTGGTTCTCACTGTTCAAGGGGGTGGGGAATAAGGGAGGCAGCATCTGGAAAGCAAGGCACTCTCCTCCTAGCTGGGCAGGCCTCTGCTGCCCTCTCCTGGGCATGGCCACAGAACTTGCTATACCTCCTGGAGAAAGCCTGCCCTAGGCCTGTGTGGAGGGTCTGCAGGAGGAAGAAAAACAGGGCTAAGAGTGGGAAAATAGTCCCAAATTTACAGATTCCTTTAATAGTAAGTTTCTTCACAAGTTCAGGGGCTTATCTCTGGCCAGTGCTGCTTTATGAGCTCCTTATGTGTCTCCTCCTTAAAAGTGTTGGAAAAGAAACCTCGTAAGGTGGATTATTTACTCAGTTACTCATTCACTTATTCAATAACTATTAGGGCATGTTAGGTACTCAAGATGCAAAGTTTGAGGAATAAAACACACTCTTCAAAGTGTGACAATGAATACATAGATAATTATGATACAGTTTCAAAAGTGAGATGGTAAGAGAAACACTCAAGCCATTATGGGCACATAGAGGAGGGGCACTTGACCGGCACTGTGGTAAGTGGGGTAGGGGCAGGACAAGAAGGTGGCCATAAAATGTGTTCCCACATGGGAACTCAATGTTAATAGTTGAATTGGAATTGTAGGCACCAAGTTACTGTCTAATACAAGAGCTCCACATTAGTAAATC